GTTTTGGAGGAGCAGGGATGGTGCAGTGGTGAGAGCCCTTGCCTCCTGCCACTGTGGCCTGGGTTTGATTCACATTTAGATTGAGTTTGTTGTTGATTCATGTCCTTGCTCCAGAGTTTTCCCCTAGTCCTCTGGTTTTTCTCCCTCTGCAAATACCAACATTTTAAATTCCAATTGGACTTAGCAACTGTGGACAAGTAGAACCAATTAGAGGAATGTCCATTGCTAAATTCCCATTCCCAGGCTCCCTTACTCTCCAGCTTCCAAGAGTCCTTTGCATTTGGCTTGACAAATTGTGTGATGCACAATATTTCTTTAATGTATGCCACACAGAAAGCTATAATTTTGTATAGTGCCTGATATCTGTGTTTAAAAGAGAAAAAAAATCGAAACAAAAAGAAAACGAAAACAACTAACGTTATTTTAGAGAGACTAGCATTATTGTTTAGTACTTTCTCCATTACCAGGGATTCCATACAGCCATGTATGCATCATCATGGTTCTTGACGCTTTTTGCTTCTGTATTTCCGCTGAATGCATCATTTAGAATTATGGATGTCTTCATTTGTGAGGTGAGAGGTGACAAATGATTTTAGAATTCTCAACTATCCACTTTTTTTCTCTTTTAAAACGTTTGCGTGTACAGGCAAATAAATTTACTTTCAAAATCAATACCCTAGTCCTACCAAGGATAAACTCAGTCCATCAGTATTTAAACATTTCTTTGAAGTTGACTCTTTTACAGAAGTATCTATTGCTTTTTTTTGTTTAGGGAAGGGAGGGTCTCTTTCGTGTCATCATGGCAATGCTCACCCTTGGCCAAGATGAGATACTTGAACTCGATATGGAAGGAATGCTGAAGGTGAGTCAACCAGCCACCCAATGGGTGCGTAGCATTGTCACAATGGTAGTAAGAATTGGTCTTAGCTGTCCAAAATAGCAAAGAAAAGAAGCTGGAGGCTCCCAGTCTTTTAAAGCTGGTCGGCAGCAAACGACTTATTTCAGGTCTGGTCAATGTTTTTGATTTCAATCAGTGCTTAAGAAACGAAAGGTCTGTAACGTTTTGTTGCTCTTTTACCTGCACTTAGCTGGTGAAAGTTCAAGATTAGGGTTATGGTTCTTAATCAAAGAAGCCTCAGTCTATATAAGTTCGCTCTCCTTTAATCTGCCGAATTAATGTGACGAATCGCACTTTCTGTTCCGACGAACTTGAACCATTTGGCGACTAAAATAAAATGCGCAGGTTTTATAATTGTGTTAAGGGGGTAAGTTTCTAAAGAAACTGTGGTGCTTCGACGGTGGGGGGTAACAAGGTCATTTGGTTTTATCGACTAAGTCGATAATGAAACTTGACCACCGTGAAGAGTTTAAAAGCTGACGTTTCGAGCGTCAGCCCTTCGTCAGAGCGAATAATTGTGTCATGTCTCCCACTTGAGAATAGTTGATTTTAGAACCTGCCTTATTAGGTCTCTTTGGCTTATTGGCAAGGCAATTTATGATGGCTTTGAGTTCTCACATAAAAGTAGTTGAAGATACAGGTTTTGGTTTTGGCTGAGAAGACATTGCTGCCATCTACATATATATGTATTCTAGTCTTGTCACCTCAGCCACGGAAATCTTACAGCTGTCTCAGTGGAGCAAACATTATGAAAATTGATTGTTTGATTTTTATTTTATTTCTTTTCTTCCTTATAAGTATTTTCAAAAAACCATGCCAGACAAATACGAAGAGGACATGAATGTTTTGATGAAAGCAGCTGCAGAAGCCAAAGTGAGCACCAAGAAATTAAAAAGGTACATCCTCTGGCAGCTGTGTCGACTTGAATGACTTGTAAACTACTGATCTTTCCCTGCCCCCCTCCCAGTGGTGCCCTGTATATTCATGTCGGACGCTCTCTCAGGGGTGGGTCAATCCAATTCCTTTCGCGCGTTTATGTTTTAGGCTGGAGAAGGAGTACACGCGTGTAAAACACAAAGAAGCAGAAGACAACGAAGAACTACGACGATTGAAGACTGAGAATAGACTACTGCTCCAGAGAATCGATGAACTGGAGAAGGTTAGTACAGTTTAGATGTGTATATGACCACAGGAGGATAGCGTAGGCACTTTACAATTAACTTTGTTTTTCTTCACGTCCATTATCAATTTTGGAAGTTGCATGGGGTTTTAAAGATGAAATAATCCGATGTGATAAGAAAAATCCAGGTCTCCAGATGGGATTTGAACCCACGACCCTCCGTGGTCACATGCGCTGATCTAAACTTGGCTGTGTAGCCGCATGGGGTTGTAAAGATGAAATAATGCGATGAAATAATGCGATGTAATAAGAAAAATCCAGGTCTCCAGACGAGATTTGAACCCACGACCCTCCGTGATTACATGCGCTGATCTAAACTTGGCTGTGTAGCCGCGCGATGCGGTTCCAGTCCATACCCACAAACTGACCCTTGCTCACCATAGAGTCTCCAGAAACTCAGTGGTTGGCGCATCCGACTAGATCATGGAGGGTCGTGGGTTCAAATTCCATCTGGGGACCTGAATTTTTCTCATTGCATGGGGTTACTGAAATTTTACCTCAGAATAAGATCGATAAATTGTCACTAAATGTGCGGAACACTTTTGGTTTTTCTGTTCAACAGGAGAGTGCCAGTTTAGCTGACAGATTAATACAGGTAACGGCTGTTTTTGGTCAAGTGCAAGAGTTGTTACATCTTTGTCTACAGCGTGGGACAAAGAAACTTTCACTGCTATATGTATTTGTGGAGATGGTAAATCTTAAGCTGGGTGGTCGAATGAAGGATGTTTTACATCAGACACGAACTGGGAACAAAGATGGAGAGTTTTCGCACTATTGCTCTCGGTTTCATATCGCTAAGTTTCTTATCAATTCTCGTCCCATTTTCTTTTCAATGTCATTGTGGCAAAGTGTTCTTCTCCAGATCTTTCACTTCCAACTTTTTATTAATTTTAGGGTCAAATAACTCGGGCGCAAGAACAAGAAGAAATCTACGCTCTCAAGCGAGATCTTGTCCTTTTGAAAAAACACGATGAGGCAACTACTGCTGCACTTTTAGAGGCCAACAGACGAATAGAAGAACTCTCAATGTTTAAGGTAGTTAAATGCGTTCATTTCTGTCAAAGTACGGATCATTTTCGCTCTCTATACTAAGAGATCGTACGTACGTAAGATAATTGTGTGTGTGCCGATTTTTTTTTTTTCTGTACACGAGTGGATCAGGACACATCTGTCTTTGCCGAATAATAAATTCTAATTTTCCCAAATTTGTTCGGTCAAGATGACTTCTTCTCGCTTCTTCCCTTGGATCCCTTATTTCTTTACGATTTTAGAGTTGTGAAATAGTAACAAGGTCCACCTTGAACTTATGATCACCTTTGCTCAATTGGCATATTTCCCAACAGAGTCACATAATAAACGAGATGAGCGGGCGACAGGATGCCTCTCCTCCCTCCCCACGGGACGTTAAGATCATCGCATTGGAGGCGGAGCTGGAGGAGTACAAAAAGAGAGAATCTAAAACAAACCAAATGCTTAATGAAATGTCGAGGAGGTCACGAGATTTAGAAAACGAGGTTTGTTTTAAAGGCTGTTGCATGGGGTAAAAAACTAGGAGGATAAAGATGTATTTCAGTTGTTATCAAAGTAATGTTTTGTCAGTCGCGGCTACATGTGCTGCAAAGCTATTAAATAATCGCACAAAATAGACAAAGCACCTGTGCACGGTTGTAAGGGGAACAAACAAAAAGGCTAACAAAGGAAATAACTTAGAACAATTTACATTTGAAAAGACGAAGTAGGTACTATACGCACAAAAATGTAATTTACAGTTCATTATGAAGAATAGAATTTGAAACTTCGACATAGATGACATACATATGTACACGCCCAAACTTCGAGAATACCTGCGAGGTCTTTTAATTTGTTCATAATAGTAAGTGACTATACTGGTAATAAAGTGCTTTGTGCAGTACAATCAAGTGTCATCGTCAAAATATACCAACATTAGTCATTATGTTTTTTTTTTTATCATTTTATCAGCTACTAGCTACTTGTTACTTGCCTAAAATGTAATTTGCAATCTCCAATTGCTGACTATCTATTGAAGTGTTGTTGCCCGTTTTGCAGCTTTACCTCGCTAAAGAGAGTGCAGAGAAAGCGGCCGTTCCTCAAGTGGAGGAAGAAGTACAGAAAGATGAAAAAATTATTTGAACAACAATTGGTGGAAAAGAGTCGGATCGTTTAGCTGATATGTAACTGACGCACGCAAGACATGTGGAACATTCGTTTTAAGACGATTAAGTCATTCAGCTTTCATAGCTATCAGGTCTCTTGGATTGTCAAGGTGCCTTTATTGAGCCCAGAATACGAATAATTTGTATTAGATTGACTTGCGTATCGCTGTGATTTCTTTTCTTTTCTTTACATTGTTTTGTAAGGATAAGGTCGTTATGGTCGTCGAGACGGAAGAAGGGAGTTTACAGGTGAATTACCTGAATTTGTCTTTTGACTATGTTCAAAATGTAATGAATAATGTAATTTGATGATAAAAAGAATTAATTTCGTATTCATTATTAATAGTTCTCAATGTACTAAAGAAAGAAGGAACTTGGAATGATTTGTTTTAATTTTTCCTTAGTTTTCTCTGGTTTTGAAATGTTCTTTATGGGCAAAATATGACACAAAATGTTCAAAGATATATCGAGCTAAAGAGAAACACAAGAAAGAAAAAACATTCAATTGTTATCTGTTCGAATGCTCTTGTTACAGAGGAGAGTTGTACAATAGAAATAATTAAATTAAACTGATATCCCACGTCGAGAATTGTAAAAAGCGAAGGCTCGAAATGTTGATGTGGAAAATGCTTTATACGAGAAATTAAGGTATCTCAATTTTTTTGGTATTTGTATCTTAGATTTAAGAGTTCAAATATTGCTAGAGTACCTTAAAATATTAATGAAGAGTAAAGTTTACTTAATGGTTTAGTTTTGCATTGATTATCGTTTCAAAGAGTATGTGCTTGTCATTTTGAAAAGAGACTAGGCCGGGTTTCTGTGGTCAATAAATACGGAAATTGTTTCACGGAATATTGAAATGTTCAAAGGCTGACGGTTTCGAAAGAAACTGAACAAAAGCTCATCTTTCAAACCGGCAGTCTAAATCCCACAGGGATCAACGAACGCTTTTCATTCCACTAATTTATTCTTGTTTCTCTCGTTGCCATGTTCCCACCAATAACGTAGCACCATTCTCTGCCTTAAAAAGCACACACAAACCACAATTCCTCTATTCGCTCCGACGAAGGGCTAACGCTCGAAACGTCAGCTTTTGTAATCGTTGCGGTGGCCAATTTACCACTTCAACTTTGTTGATATATCCAAATTATATTGAAATCTTCAGTTGGGTTGCCTGTTCTAATTCAGTCCACAAAAATAAATCTGTGACCTCGTATTTCAAGGTTAATGTTATTCGAAGAAAATCTATTCCACATTCCTCAGTGTCGGTATCTGTGTTAGGAATACCTTTGCAACTAAGCCAAATAATCGGTAAATAACTTTTGTCATTCTCTTTACTTGTCAGATAGTAGACACTCAAGAAAATATTGATTGTAATTTTTTTTTATTCAATCTCTGTCCAAGCATCTTGCAAACTTTATATTATACTTAGTTCTGTGGAAAGGCCGGTTCCTCAGAAGAAGCGTTTCAAGACCTGTGGAAGTACGGAAATTCAAAAGTGAATCTAAAATAGCTAGGACAAACTCATCTTATTTTACAGATACGCTCCATTATCAGCTGGAGGGTTGATTCAACCTGCCTTCGAATATTTGATATTTATTGAATTGATAGCGGCTTTCCCAAAGCGGGCATGCCAGTATCTTAATTACGGTAGGTATTGGAATCACCCTAGCCTGCAATGCAGGCCTCTTACGAACACAAGAGCGCATGAACGTTGCAAGCTCGCGATTTTTTTATCCAACCGGCCACTTTCGATCTAGAGTTAGGGTGGGTAGTGGGGGAGATGGGTGGGGAAGTCGAGCACCCCGTCCCCTCTCCCTCTTTTTGACCGTCTCTCACCCCTTTGGTCACTCATAATCTTGTGCTGCCGTAAAGATCAAAGATGGCAGCAGTAATTATCACCAAGAGAACACTGGGCAACCGCTGCCAAATTTACGCCTGCTCTGCAGGCTAGACTCACCCTTTAGGCATCGCACCCATACAACTCTACCCTCATGCAGGGATAGCTCGAGTCGACAACGATGATCTTGATATATCGGGCCTTAACAGGATTGAATGTATTCAACGCAGGTGTGAAATGATCACAGTTTCCCGCAAAAGTCTGAAATGATAGCACGACATAAGATAGTTTAAAATAGCTGGAAGAACCTTTACAGATACGCGGAATACTTAAAGTGCTCCAAAACCGGGATAATAAAAAATTAACATGCTCGAGCACCAACCTTATGAAAGCGAACAAATAAACAAACAAAGAAAAAAACAATAGTTTGGCAAAGAAATAAAACGTTGATTGCAATAGCTTTTGGTTCTCACCTTTTCCTTTCCATTTTCCTGGTAAATCTGGAAGTTTGATCCGTCATTACTGAAAGCCAGTTTGTATTCTTTGACGTGCTCATGGAAAACATCGCGACCTTAACGACAATTAAAAATGAAAGCTTAACACGAACTAACTACATCACTTATCGTTAAGATTTTGGGTAATATCACAAACTGCACGCACTCAAAGGCTCTTGTCACGGGCTTTTCCTATTGATTTTAGTCTCCGAAAAATTTCGTCAATTTATTTTCTTCAAAATGATAAAATCGTGGTAAAGCATTTTTCAATCAAGAATGGAAACCGATCCTAAACTGTTTTGATTTTTCCTTACTGCGCTCTGTGTTAACTGAAAACTACCTTATATTTATGAATTGTTCGACTGCGTTGGCCACTAAGTGGAACGCCTGTTTATTATCAACTCCAGAGTTTGTTTAAGTAGGAAATCGTTGGGGTTACAAGTGCGCACCTAGCGAGAAAGCTGCGTTGATCTCTAAGTGAAACACCAGCCAATTGGAGAATTTTTCAATTGAGTGTATAAAAAAGTGCGAGATTACATTAGTTTCGCTCTACTTCGATCAGTGATTAATCCAAAAAAGTCACACCACTCTCTCGACCAATCAGATGCAAAACTAAAACCAATCACGATTTGGTCGGCCGCGTTTTCCCCGCGCTTTGGTTGCTCTATCAGTTGTAAGGATTGTTACGGGAGATAAATCACTAGCGTTATGAGTATGAATCCCCACGTGAAGGCAATAGCCAGCTACAGTTCCGGCTAACATGTTACAACTGCAGGTTTAGATTACCTTGTGTGGCTATTCCCCTAACTGTCTTGGTTTGGCCAAGATCAATCTGTAGCCACTGGTTGTCGCGAACCTCAGCGCACCAAGCTCCGATCCTTTTGTTGTCTTGGTCATCCTCAAAGTAAAGACGAGCATTGTCTGCTGTGGCTCTCCAATCACCTACCATGATAAGAAAAAACCATACGAACGCAAAACGCAAATAAAAGGAGGAATCATGTATCAACAGAAAGGACCTTGTGTGGCCCACTAGCTAATCAGCCGCACATAAGCGCAAAACCAAACGAAGGTAAAACGCAAATGAGAGAAAGAATCATATAGAAACAGACAGGTCGTTATGTGGCTCACCAATTAAAAATTACTTGTACATGAGAACAAAACTAAAAGAACCCGCAAGGTAAATGAAACGAGAAATCATGTGGCAGAAGAAAGGTTCTTGTCTAGTCCTGATATTTCATTTACTTTTTTCCTCCTTCGAGCCAACAGAGACGCCGCGCCAGAAGGATCCAAAAGGATTCGTAGTCCAAACCTCGATAAATGATAGGAGAAGTAGTATGGCACACGAGGACGGACAACTTCGAGCGAAGGAAGACATACACTCAATAAAAAATCTAAAAAGTTTAATAAAAAAACGTTTCGGTCCAAGACCTTCATCAGCAAAGTGCTATGCCTGAAGAGCCGCAGCAGCGGTGAAACGCGTAGCGCAAAAGCAAAGTAAAAGAGGACTTTCGTTTTTCATTTATTTTACTATATGTATATATAAATTTCAATTGAAATTTTTGAAACTGTTCACCCTTAGAACCGTGCGGGTGACCAGCATCCAATTTCTCCAAACAATATCACTAACTAAAGAATAAAGAAGCCCCCGATTGTTAAAAAATTCTCCTTGTCAGCACCATAGGAAATGTATAACGAACAGTCTAGAGGATATGCGTTATGATGTGTTAGGTTGTAAAGGGTTAAACTTTGGTCATCCTGTTACGCAGAAAGTTATGTAACTCGCCATTTTATGAGTGCACGGTATGTATCGAGTAAAACAGAACAGCATAGTGGATGACGGTTATCCCAATGGATTTCGTAATTACTCACTCACCTGGTCTGTACTCTGTTGAAGCACTAAAAGCACTGTCTGGAAGTTTGTAGCTTCCTGGCCATCCTAGACCGAGACCTTCTGAGCAAGCACCTAAGTGACAAAACATAACCATGCGATGGCAATTTCAGTCAGTGTCTTGAGTTTCTGAAATGTGAAAACGGTGACAGGGGTAATAAGGTTTTCAACTACATCTTTTTCCACCCTTATTATGTTAGTAGTTTTAAGACGAACAGGAATTTAAACATGTATTCAAGCTGCAATGCTAGTGTGCAAGATGGCAGAGGACCCACACCAAGTAAAAGAAGCCACGCCGCTTTCCCTTTTTAAGAACTCTCTTATTTTCATTTTAGTCATTAGTTTTCTATTAATATAATACTCGGACATACTTTAATTTGCTCTTTTTTATTGTGTTGATCTAGAAAAATTGTACTTCATTGATATGTAATTTCCTTTTTATTCAAATTTTTTTAAATATAATTTTAAGATAATTTTTAAATTTTTAAATTCTATCATGTAGTCTTAAATTTACGCAGGGCCCCTTTTGATACCAGCCTATGGCTGATGGGGCTACCTTGCCCAAATAAAGATGTTTTGTTTGACCCTTGTCTTACCTTTAAAAATACATTAATCGTTACCTTTAGGCTTGATTGGGTACGTATCACATCTTGTTTTGCAACTAATGCGGCAAGTACTTTCAGTCCATCCATTCGTTTTGCATTCACCACTGGCAGCCCACGATGGACAGCTTTTACGTTTATCAACACACATGAAGCCTGGAATGCAATGATCCGAAAAGTTTTTACTCGGTCATGACTTAAGAGAATCAATTAAGTATAGGTGGTGCTCAATTTTCTCTGTAAAAAGTTTCTAGTTTTTGTTGCACTTGACTTTGCCATGTTGTTCTCACTTCAAAACAACCCATTAGAATGGGAAAATGGAAAAAGTTGTTCGAAAGGTAAATATTCCCTGAACAGTTCTTAAACTGCAAGCGCATCGAAATTCAAACGTGTCTTTATGTTGTTCTTTTTCTTAACAATTTCATTTCATAATAACTTTTTCTATACCACAGAAGTCTTTTTACAACAAGAAATTGACAAATAAAGGATTTATTTAAAGGAACTTGATGCCTTCTGTAAAGAAATTCTGTGCCTGAAAATACAAAGATAGAATTAAAGCAAACATGGAACAGTGAATGCACTAACCTGATCCCGTCCTGTTCGGCAAAGTAGGTGGAACGGTTGGTATCCCTGTGATTGGTGGATTAGTTGGGTTTGGTGGCTTGGTCGGTTTCGGTGAATTAGTCGGATTTGGCTCTATCAAAAAAAAAAAGGAAGAAAAGAAAAAAGAAAAGAAGAAGAAGGATAACAGAATGGCGTTGGGAATTACTAGAAAGCCCATAAAACATCACACCTTAAAGGTTGCCTCAAGGGTCCTTACTTGTGCACTCATTACAGTAGCCGCACGTGTGAGGACATTCCATTTCCATCTTGACTGGATCAGAACTGCATTCATCATTTTCTGCACGAACCTTACAGTCAAATTTCAGATCGACGCAGTTATCTGTGGAGACGCAACAGACGCTCTAAGCATTTGAAGTCCTTGGTCGTATCTGATATCCCTTTCTTTTTTCCATACATAATAATAGATTCGACGAGCGAGATAATAGAGAATGACGCCCCTTGTTTAAGATAAAATGCTCGAGGTAAGGCTGGTGATTATCTGCCGATCCAAAAACCTCCGTCTTTTTTTGTAAATGCCAAACTCAAAATTAACCATTTCCTTAGAAAAAATATAATTTGAAGCATGCATATACCTGATGAGCAAAAATCACAAGTCTTTTTGCAGTGATAGATCAAACTTGAATGTTGGGGATTCGCACAGAAACCAGACCGCTTCCAACTGGCGCAATTCGCTGATAGAGCTCTGTCAATACAAATCTTGGGCGATGGGTCTAAAATTTAGAATAGGAAGCAGATATTTTAAGTTATCCTATTTTTAGTAAAAATAAAACATACCTCTTTTCAACATGATGTGCATTAGTTAGTGGACGATGGTATCATGTTTCCCGAGACGAAGTCGGAAAACATCAGGACTTGAAGGAAAACAAAATTAACTGTTTCCCCGAGGGACCATACATTAAGGTTACCGTGCACCTTCAGGGGTGTCTCGCGCGCAAGCGCTGAAGCGCGTCCGCTTTAAACACGAAGGCGCGCTATAAAAGGAGCCTTAGGTCCCACTGGACCATTTGTCAATCAACCGTTGTGTCATGTAGAACTCTTAGAGTCAAGTCAGCTTGAGCTACAGCTACTCCAAAGCAGTGAGCAACAGGCGCATTCCTCAAAATTGTTTTATGTCTTCATCACAATACAAGAATTTTTGAGATTTGTATTTCCTTTCTCCAATGGAAACTGTCTTCATTTGTGGCGGTAAATTTGAGATCGAAGTAGGTGGTTCGCACGTTACCTCATGCCACCATGCTGGTGGAAGTAAACAATAGATATCTCATTAGCTCCTTTTGTTCGTCTACCACCATTTACATTTGACCCGCACACGTCAACGACGAGTGACTAATGAGCCAAGGTCTTCCCAGGGAAGACTTCCTTATATAGCGCGCCTTCGTGTTTAAACTGTAGATATCTAAACACTGAATCACCTTTTAAGAGCTACAAGTCAAAGGGAATTTGTTCGATTCCTCTCAAATTTGGACAGTAGCTATTATTTACATATAAACAACAAACACGGGTCTCCGAATTTGTTATTTCTAAATAGTTTTTATCAAGAGCAATTTTTGTACGATCACTCCACATTTTTTAATCCTATTTCAAAACTGTTCTGTAACTTTTCACTGAAATTGAATATGGCAAATCGCAGACGCGTGTTTTTAGCGCTTTGGCCCCGGAAACGGAGGAACACATAAATAAGCGAAAAACAAAATTCGCTTTAAGGCGGCTGAACACAGTTTTTGATACCTTTGTTTCTTTCACTATTTTCTCTAAAACCCTTGATCTCTCGGTCGCCAAAATTGGAAGAAAGCAAGTTAACAACGACGTATGTGCCGTTGCCATGGCGATATGAATAGATATAAATTAGCAATTAAAATCGGTTTTGTTTTTTTGTAGAAAATCTAGTCATTAAATTTTCTTTATAATTTGCATGCAGTGAGCTTGTAACGATACTCACAAGTTAACACCATTTTGCTAACAATTTAACAGAGAAATCTTTGATTATCCCTTGTTAAAGGTTCACTCGATTTTCTAGCATTTCCTTTGTTTAAAATCTATTTTTTTCAATACTCCAGTTACTTGTTTCCTAAAGTATTTCTGTGCCAAATTTCGTGAAATTGTAATGAGTGGTTCTCAAGAAATAGGCATATTTCCGAGGAAGCAATTTTCCATTCAATCACATTTTTTTACTTACTACGCATGCGCTACATTTAACTGGTTTCTCAGTTTCGGTAACGACGAAAAAGCTCAGAATCACTGGGTTCTTTGCACCGTTAACTTTTCTAACATATCTTTGTAACAAAAGATTAAATCCCTCATACACTGTGCCAACTATAGAGAAAAATAGCACAGACAGTGCGGGTACGGGTTGAGTAAATGAAATGGCTGCTCTGTGACGGCATGTTTGTTTTTTGCAATCCTTGTGCGCGCGAAAACTGTGTTCATCCACCTTAACATGTAACGTTCAAAAGGTGATTCGGGCGCTCGCATTTAGAAGTCGTGAAAAACTCGACAATTCATTTTTTTTTCAAAACTTTTGGTATAGTCTGATAGCCAGTCCTATAAACTTTAATTTGATATAGGGGTTTACATATCTACAGTTTAAACCGGACGCGCCACATCGCTTGCACGCGATACCCCTGAAGGTGCACGGTAACCTTAAGTGCTTTGTTATCTATTTAGACTTTCCCTTAAACAATCCTTTAGCAAATTTATGCTGTTGCATTCGGCGCGCAGCCAACAACTGCGCAATTGATTGCCGGTCGGGATAGATCGGGGACACGTGACCAAGAATCAACCAATCTCAGTGCTCGTTTTGTGAGTGAAAGTCTAGGTATATAACAAAGCTTCTTATTAACCCTCTGAGCTGTCTCTAACTAGACTAAGATCGTAAGTAAAATCAAGATTTCGTGGACAACGCTGATTGTATAGCATCAAACAATATTAAATATGGTGTGGATTGAAAAAGACAAAATTTAGCTGTCGCAGCAATCAAAATACAAATGAATAAAGGCTGATAGTTTCGAAAGAAACTGTTTGAGGCTGCGAAAGACGAAGGGCTCCGACGAAGGGCTAACGCTCGAAACGTCAGCTTTTGTAATCGTTACGGTGGCCAATTTACCATTTCAACTTTGTTGATATATCCAAATTATCTCGTTACCCCTACCGACGCAGCCCCAAACAGTTTCTTTCGAAACTATCAGCCTTTATTAATATTGAATATGACTTCACAAGTAGATAATCATTTGCAAATACATTTGCAAAGGCGAAAGAGTAAATAGATTGTGCTATGAAGAAGGTTTTGATCAGCTTGCAACCCTTTAATAAAAAAAAGGGAAACGAAAACAATTTTCCTGACCAAGAGATTAATAAACATTGGAGTGACTGACCGAACAGAGGCAAAGAAGACTAGTTTTGCTTTCATTTATTTGGTTTTTTACTCTTCGTTCATGTGGCCGAAAGGTCAATTGCTATTGAGAGATCCCTCCGTTCGGGAGGTCCTGTTTTTGAGTCTCGCTTCGACCACTTAACGGACAGGTAGTTCCGAGTTCTACTATTCAGTTCAAATTCCCCAAGGTTATATGTTAGCATATTTTTCTATAGTCTTTGGAAGTGTAACTTACCAGTGCACTTTTTGCACGTGTTACACGTGTGAGGACAGTGCTTGTCCATGTAATCTTTGTCGGAGGAACATTTTCCGTCAGAAGCCCATTTTTTGCACTCGTATTTTAAGTCAATACAACTATCTGAAAGCAAAAAGAAAAGAATCTTTGGCATTTGTTTGGCCTGTACTACAGAGACAGCATCGAAAATTCATTGTAGTAGAGCACTCTTCATAAGACAAATAAATAGATCTGTTTTTTAAGTCTTTTCTTGTTCAGATCAATTAAATCTCAACAAAGATCGATTGCAGTATTTTCCAAAATCTTAGTGTTTCGTTGGGAAAAGTTAGAGATCTTTCAGATGTATCTGTTATACTTACTAGATGAGCAAAATTCACAACTTTTTTTGCAATGGTAAATCAGGGAGGAATGCTGTTTGCAGAAGCCGGCATTTTTCCAGCTCTCGCAGTCGGCTTTTGGGGCCCTGTCAAGGCACCTCTCTGGAGCAGCATTTGCTGGAAATAGAAACCAATGCAAAAGTTGTCCGGTTTTTCTTCTAGCATCTGTCTCACTCTATCTCTAGGCAGCACGTTTGAGACAGTGAATATAGTACATGGTTCAGCTAATCAACAGGATCTTTAAACTCAGTTTGTAAAGTCGGAAGTTCTAGGTTCAAATTATATTCTCAGGTGCAGAGATGTCAGATTGTTTTTCTGAGTCACACATCCACGACTAAAGTTGAAATATTGACAGAACCTCTTTTGTTCATTTGAATTACCCGAACACCAACTATGCTTTGGTCTCAGGTCAACGACATTGGGTAGTTTAGAGGGTGAAATTTCTATCAGTTTCAACAACCCGCAAAACGGTATGTGGCAAGACTAAGAACTGATTCGAATTAAAATTCAGCATTAAGTTGATTGTTGTAGTTCACTTTGTTTTACAGGGACTAATCTTAATTAATCCAGCACTTGATATATTAATTGCAAAAGCTAGTTAAAGAGATCACTTACCGATTGTGTTTCTTTTAACTCGACCTGATTACAGATGAATTTACAAATAGTTAACAAGTGATATTGACCTTGATGGGAACTGTATAAACTTAAGTGAAGTTAAAATTTTAGGCCAATTTTACTGATATTTGGTTGAGTAACAGAGAACTTAAATTTGGAACCTGCAGAGTAAGCTTCATAATCAAGTTGAGGTCTTTTTCTTTGGTTTTCCCTGAAGAAAATCACCATTGGTTTAAGCATTTTAATAAGTTAAATGAGTTGTGACCGATAACCTGAAAAGTTTTACCACTCATTTTTTTTTCTTTTTTACGTTTGTATTTGTTTTGCATGCTCTTTCTTATTCCCATCAATTCTACCATGAAGAGATACTTACTGGGACATTTGTACATCCTGCGCGCCTGTAATGCGTCATCGTCACTGAGTTTGATATACGGGGTCTTCCCATTGAGTGGTCTGATTGGCTCCAGAGTCATTTTTCCATTTTTGGAGAAAGCCGTCCATGGGTAATGCATTATAGATGAGTAATCATACGGGACCCCGTAGTCGATTACCTCTGATCCTTGAACTTTCTTCTTGAAGTTGTACGCCATACCTAGGAATAAAAGTATTGGCTTGATTCGTTGCAAATCACCGTCCGTTAGTCTGGACAGTCAAGTTGTGACTTGCTTTTACATCATTCTAGAGATCGAGAGACGTTTGGTAAAATGAAATTTTATGATCGTTCTTGTCGCTCACTCTTATCCATCTTTCAAAAGCCTTTTTGTGGTAAGATGAAATTTTTCATTTAAGCGTGCCCGATAACTTACTGTCCAGAATGTTTTCCCAGTTGATCTTCAAATAGTTGTCCCGATCAGGTCTGCTCTGTTCGTGCCAAAAACCAATAGCGTGACCAATCTCGTGAGTCATCACGTGCTTGTATTCACAGCCGTTTCCGATGGACAGCCAAGTTTTTCGACCAGACACTTTTCCAACCTCGCACCAACAACTGTAAAAAAATGGTACGTTTAATACTTTCGATCGATAAGGATCTTAGATTTATTGGCCTAATGCGAACATTTCTGCCTGGTCCTCCGACCCTTCTTGTTATCACCTAATTATCCATGTAGCAAACGCAAGGGACCGTTTTATTTTCGAGTGCTTTTGACTTACACGGTGTCTTAAGAAGAAGGGGGTGTTCTTAAGGAAGACCTTGAAATAATATTCAAAGTAACCTTATCCAACGTGTAATAGAAATGTGTATCAAGAAACTGAAAGGAAGCCGTGAACAAATGCCAAGAATAACTTGCAGTGCATTGGTACTGAACCAATCCAAGAGTAGCAGCAATAGTCCAAGTCGCTTCATGCTACAAAAACCATGATACACTCGTAAAATCAGGGACTGATAGACTCATGGACATGATCTAAACCACCATACCCATTTCCACGATGGAACCAAAGAAACTCTGTCTCAGTCGTCCTCTTAACGAATCTTAGGCATGTTTTGCTCTCCCACTCAGCAATAGCTTCCATTGTGGTTCGTACCGCGCGATCCATGTTGGCTGCAAATAAATGACGCATTTGATTGGTTAAAACAGTAGCTTTCTATTTTCATTCTATATAGTTGTTCCATAATACGTCCGTAAAATGTTAAAGAGATCAAGGGGAAGCTTTTTGGGTCGCTCACTTTTTTGTTGGGTGGGAAAGGATCAAGAATAGATTACAACAAGTCAGGAGGAGCCTGAATGCTTTCTTGCTATTTCTTAAATAGTTACTTGTTCAGCTAAACCGTTCTTGGTATTAAGCACTCACCTACACTACAATCAAACTCGTAAGGAATAACACCATTGGGCCACTTTATCTTGTCCACATTGGTTGCGGCGCGTCCTGGAGATCCATCTGGGTTTCCATGCAAAGCGTTGTTTAGTCGCTGCTCCTCTGAAAGCTTGATATCTCCTTCATAGAGATGCAGTGAATCAGATTGGCGCTCTCCTTGGCTCTCTGGATTATCTGTAAAGGAATGCGTTTTCAAACAGAAATTTAGAAAAATTATTTCGCGCACGGGGTTTATTTTAATATGCATGCAGAAGAGCATTACCAGGATGCAACCCGCAGTAATATTTCAGTTCCTTTTACTTTGCAAGCTTAAGGAACGCCTTAAATCAGCAAACAAGATGTCCTTAGTAAATTTTTCGCATGATGTGGTGAGCCGATAGTTTCAAAACCTTCATTCTTTAAAATCGCACAGAACCTGCTTAAAACATCTGCCTGAAAATGAAAGTGATCCAACCTAGCAATGTAGCAGTGATTCTTCAAGAGATGATGATACTGGGACAGAGTTTGTTTGATCTAGTCGCCTTTTTGCCTAGAAATCGAAATTTTCTTTTCTTTGCATCGTACCTGAATTGCCATTATAAATTTGCTATCTGAAAAAGAATTAGCTGACACACACCATCACTGTTGGCAATATCACATAGGGAACCCCTTCAGTGGAGCTCAGATTGCAACCTACTTTTTATTCCAAGATTTACTTCCAGAATCTGCTCGAAGGCTCCTTTCTCACCCTGGTATCCTTTGGTCAAGAGAAGGGTACCAAGAACCAGCAGCGAGATGTGATTCATCGATAAACGCAAACAGTCCTGAAAAGAGATAAATTTATAACTCTTCAAATATCATAATTCGATGCAAATCGAAAGTTTTACATCTAAGCACGAGAAAAGTAATGTTCAAAAGCAGACTTGGTAAAAGGAATTGGTGTCTCTGTGATTCTAAAGCAAAATTTCAACGAGAATCATTTCTGAGTGACAAACTCACCGGACATATATCGTTACAGCCATTCTATGTATTTTTAAAAAAAACAATTATAAAACTAGGTGAGGTTTAAACAAAGGAAAATCTTTTCTTCCACTCCCTTGGAATGAAAACTAGTTTCTGTGATTTGACGACATTCTTGAGACCGATAATTGGCAATTCCGATAATGATTTCTTCATCACATTTCATGGGCCACAAAAAATGTTACTTACCCTAATTATTCCACTTACTGCTCAGGAATATTAGTCGTCTGCTTCGGCGCTGTACATTGAAGAGTGGCCTTATTTTGCAGGGTGAATGCCTTTCATAGGTGTTGTTCGTTTGAACAGTTGCCGAACTGATTTACCCGTACAACAAACAGTACTTTTCTTAAGACATTGCTGTGTTTGAAATAGCAACAATACCCATCTTGCCTGAACATCTATTTGGCATTGTGACTGTTTTTCTGTATAAACACAAAGTAGATTTGTGTAGTATCTTGTTGTTCTGTTTAGGGTGCTCCGTTTGTTCAAGTAAGGAAAATCGATCCATTGTACGTTAGCTGAAGCCGATGTAGAGAGATCATTTATCTCGGGGTCTCAATTTTCTTTGTTCTTCATACAGATCCCGTAATAACTGCTAGGAGTATATACTAAAACAGTGGATAGCGCTGAAGGCGCGCTCCGGGATTGGCTAGTCAAACTCTGAATATCCTTTGCTATTTACCTCCGAGCAACTCGAGAAAAAATGGCGTCCCGGTTTGCATCCGTGACAAGCGAAGAAATCACTCAGATTAATATTTGGTGGTGTATATTATCTCACTGTTTTAGTATATACTCTCAGATGTATCTTTTGTACTTACTAGATGAGAAAAATTCACGTTTTTTTTGCAATGGTAAATCAGGGAGGAATGCTGTTTGCAAAAGCCGGCATTTTTCCAGCTCTTCCCAGTCGGCTTTTGGGGCCCTGTCTATGCACCTTTCTGGAGCAGCATTTGCTGGAAATAGAAAACAATGCAAACGTTGTCAGGTTGCTTTTCTAGCATCTGTCTCACTCTATCTCTAGGCAGCACGTTTGAGACAGCCGTGAATTTAGTACATCGTTCAGCTAGTCAACAGGATCTTTAAACTCAGTTTGTAAAGTCGGAAGTTCTAGGTTCAAATTATATTCTCAGGCGCAGAGATATTTACCTCGTCGCTTCGCGACTCGGTAAATATCGACCACTTGAACCACCTCCACTTCGGTGAATAGTTGTTAATTATCGAGTTCAGCATATGCATCTTGCACAATTATTTGAATGCGGGGTAAAACATACGATTTGAATGCACTAAAACAAGCAAAGTTGGAAAATGCTTTAATGCGAGTGTGAACAAACAGTTCGATAACAACATCAACGAAATTTCATTCGAGGCAAGTTGAAAGTGCACTTTATAAATCGCGTTGAATTTGAAACCGTTCACCTCGCAAATATAGCTATATTATGTAACATCCTTATTGCTAAAAAGTAAAAATCAACCATTTAGTGATAATAAAATAGCCATACCACATATTTACACAGCCTTGGTCTCACGCTTAAAAATAATGGCAAAAGGCAGACATTTTTATTTGTTTTACCGAGCTAAGTCTAAGACAGAGCTATTCAACTCAAAGAAAGACACATACAGCTGATGCAGAGAGAAATCTGACCTTGGCACGGGCGAAAACACGACGTAATTGGAGGTGATGTTGCAAATGATTCCTTACTTATTCTTCTCTTTTAATGAATGGGCTAATTAGTAAGACTTGCACCAAATACACTCATTGTGTGAACGACGACTAACACCGGCTCTAAAATCATGTGGAAGAGATACAATTTATGAACGTACTTTGCGTAGGAAAAAAAAAGCGAGATAATATACTACATGAAATTGATACTTTCAAAGGAAAATCTAATAATTTTTCATCTTTGTCTTCTTTTTTTTGTTGTTGATAATATTAAGAGAACTCCTATCTATTCTAAAGCGGAAATTTTGCTTTACACTGAAAATGCGGAAAAGTACAAGGAGTGCATTCTTGGAAACTGACTGCTGATTTTTCATTTCCGACTAAGATTGTTATCTAGCAAGGAAACAGCTTGCGGTCATCCAAAACAAGAAACAAAATTAATTGTATAAACAGATACAAATGATCTTTAAAATAATTTCCTCCTTTTTTTAAAGGTAGCAAAATGAAGAACACAGCGTTTTCCCTGGCACATAAATCACTCTGAATAATTCATTGCCCTTTGACCAACAAAGCATTTTAAGGAGCATTCGGTAGCGATGAAGTTTGTTAACTTTTCAAACAACATTGTTAGGGACACTCGCTTTTGTCAAACAAATACGATAGGAACACATGCAGCAACCTTAAACGAACTTGAAAATGAAATATTTCCGCAACGTTTTAGCGCGAAAGTGTGTATATGCCTTTAAGAATTTCACTTTTAATTCGCGTTTACGTATAAGAGCACTGATGGTTTTATGTCATGCAAAAATACAACCATTAGTTGTGGCGTATTGTGGCTTTCTCCGTTTGAACCCTCAATACAGGTAAAATGATTAAGGTATGTAGCACTTTAAGTCCTTTTAGCTTTGATCAATGGTCACTCGCAAATTTTTTGGCGACAGCTACCCAACAAGCGTAGTGGTGGCGCAATTAGATTTTTCTTCATGTTTTTGCTTTGAAGTTGGAAATTGAATTTCTTCCAAATTATTTCTCAGATGAATTTGATTTTCTTGCGATATTTTCACGGGAACTAACAAACTTAACAAAATTCCTGTCCAACTTAATATAGACTTAATGGTCACGGTGTACTTTATTGTTTGATATATAACTGCTTTCTCTTGGACTATGTTCTTATGTTATATCAAATCCACATCTCTATTTTCAAGGGATAATCGAAAATTCACGTAATGAAGAACAATGGCTACAGTGCTAATTTAGAGCGACAAAAGCTGAGATATTTAGGTCATCGAAAAAAACATCGATCTCCTATTTATTTGCTTAGATCGTTGAGGTGATATTTAGAATAAGAATGATTAATTCGAAAATCACTCTAGAAGAAAGGATAACGAACCTTATCAAAAAGCCAAAAACAGGAGCCGTTACCATTTCAACTTTTAATAGAGAAGATATTTGAAATGGAGTAAAATTTTTCAAGTCTGAGCTGTTAAGTTACGTAGTTACTGTAAGAGAATTGCGAGAACGCATTGATAACTATTTTAGTAACTGAGAGCAGTGATCTCATCATTGGGTGATTCTCTTTTGGTTGTAACTATTCTGAATAGGGAATTGTGATTTTCATCCTTTTGGTGAGCATTGGAGCATTTTGCCAGCGACAGCATTTGGACAAGGTGGTTCTCAGAGACTTCTACAGATCATCTCAGGGTCCTGTTCCTAAGCACAGCTCTCCAATGGGAATTTATGCCGAGTCACGTTCAAACTACCGTGAAGATAACTGCTGTGTCAAGAGGAAGATAGTACAAAACGGAAAAATCAAGTCTCAGTGTCGCAGCGAGCATCCTGATTGTTTTTCTAAATCGAGTCCTACAAGCCCTAGTTTTGGGAAGTGCGAATCTGTGAGGGACAGTGAAGATGATGTAATTGCTTGTCGATGCGCTGCTAAAAAATAGGAAAGTAACCCTCTCTGATCTTGAACATCCTTTTCAGGGGAAGTTCTTAATTAAAGTCTAAACATAAAGGAATACAAAAGGCCGTAATGCCTATCTATTGTTGTCTTCTCTGCATCGGAATAATTTGATTTACGATTCTCCACCATTATTAATAGTGATTGTGCGACCTCTGTAGAGTGAATACCACAGGTCTTTCTCTTTGAGCTTACATGCTTCGTCCTCTTTGCGTGGTTTAAGCACAATCAAAATAACTGTTGCTTCCACGTGTCTTTCGTTATCTAGATTAGCAAATATCATTTACAAATGTATGTGAAAAATAATAAAACTGTTCGTGGTTTCCACAAATAGTTATCCCTTCCACGTTGATTCCCGTAAGAAACTAAACCGGCTAAGGTAAGCAACGCATAGTATCGCCTGAAAATGCATCAATGAAATCCAGTGGTTACACCTCGAAGCGTTTTGAGAATTTTAACCTTATTTGTGCAAAACCTATATTTTGCAAAATGAATAAGTTTTGATCTTGGTTGACGTCTTCCGGCTGAGTACCCGTAATATTTTTGCTCGACTGACCTTTCAAGAACTTTTGTCAAAAATGGTCAAATCAAGATTGAGTGCGTAATCACCCTTTCAAGTTGTTTCAGGAAATCAGATGCCGCAAACTTTTCCCTTGTTTAGTGTAGAAACTATTTTTATTCCTAAATTTTTTGTGATTGGCGGCTGTCATTGTCCTGCACGGCTGGATCTTTAAAATGTGTGGGTATCCCAATACAGATAATGAGACCCTGTTCGAGAGACCGATTTATCAATGTAAAAAATTGATTAAACGTCACGTACTTAAATTCACCCTTCAAATCTTATCAGGCAAAGCATTCAGCCTCTTAAAGATTTCACGTGATCTGTGATGAGCAATTAGCACACGTCATGAATAAGGTCTACTCTACTTTGTGGCATATGAAGACGGATGGGATTACACGTTCAATCGCAAAAACAAAAGCCACAAAGGCTACTATTTCACTGATTTTATATCTCCATCGATTTGCGTTTTCTGGTAATTACGCATGCTTCTGCTGCGTTTTTAGTACTCACATACTGATCAAGGAGTAAGTGAAACGAAGGAAACATTGGAAAATATTTTAATTGGGTCAAGTTGTTAAACTGTGACGACTGTCCTGGTTGTGCAAAGTCCCCTAATACAGAGAATGACCAAGGAAGAGGAAAACAGGAAAATTTATGAACAAAGGGAAACTAGAAACAAATTGCTCTTCACTCCATTTAACTCAAATTGTAATAATCCCGGTTTTTGATGTGGCTGACATTTTATTGGCAACAGTTCAAAATTAAAGACTATATTGGACATTCATTGTGATATCAATTCGTGATTAACTATTCTGCACTTGACACTTCAAATTTTATTTTAGCTCTTTATTTCACAATCCTTAAAACCACGTAACAATAATGTATCGATGTCACTCATTTAATAACACCTTTCTTTTCAAATCCTTTTGAATATTCTACTTTAAGTTTGGCTGCCAGAAAAAAAATAATTATCAAAAGATATAGAAAAAATGATAGAACATCTGACAATTCAAGAAACTTTTCCAGCTAGTTTTTAGCGGCGCATCGACAAGCAATCACACTATACCTACTGTCTCTCACAGTTTCACATTGCCCAAATAGGTTACTACTAGGATCAGATTTTCTGAAACAATCGGGATGCTCGCTTCGACATCGATATGTGATTCTTCCGTTGTTGATAAAGCTCTCCTTGACACAACAGTCATCATAAGATGAGTGGCGCTTGACTCGTTGAGAAATAAAACTTCTTGAGGCATCAATCTGTGTTGTATTCCAAGGTGACTTGTTGGAGTTGAGGAGTTTCTCCTTCAGACCTTGCGGCCAGCAACTTATTTCGTACAGGAAACAGCAAACAACAAAGGCAAAGATAGCAACCTTGAGAAAGCAAAGAAATGCACCATCAGGAATGTGTGTATCACCTTGAACAGGTGTTGATTTTCATTTCAAGTTTGCGAGAGAGAACCTTTTAATTGTTACTGTATATTATGATTTTATCAAATCGGTTTTAATTGTCAAGTTAAGCATGTTTTCGTGGAAGTACTTATCATACTTCTGTTCATAGGCTTCCCTTACAAACGCCGGCAAAATACTTTGAAAAAAATCATTGCAGCTGTTCAAGGTGATAATGTTTAAGTTAAAATCACTGCTATAAGAAAAATTGAAGCACATGGCATCTGTGCATTGAACTTGACTTATCGCCTGCTTCATAAAGGAGTTATTAAATATATGTATGGTCTACTTTCAAGACATCGTACCTTGGAAATCATTTTGTTCCTACTCAGAACTTGAATAATCCACAGGTAGTGAAGACACTTTTTCTCTCTGATTTCACTGCAGTTTGGAATGATGTTCCTCTCCTAGAAGCTATAGCCTTTTATAGTCTCCCATCGAAAAGGGATATTTTTTCCTATCCATTGTACTACTACAATGCATGTAATTTCATTGATCATCGATACCCATTGACTAAACAAAGAAAGGCTATTATTATCAAAAAAAGTTGTAATGGCTTGACGTCAAAGATCGTTACAGAGAGCATTTAAGACCTGGGGAGTTCCCATTTTCCTAAATATGCAACTTGCAAAAGGATATATCGAGGTTTATTCAAACAAAGAGAACCTTAAAGCTGCCACATGTATGTTATCAATTGATTTATTTTTTGTAAACCTGCTATTTCGTCTTAAAGATTCCTTTGTGTGAATTATCCATTGCTAAACAGCTGAAAAACAAAATAGAATAAAAATAAACCTTTCCTGTCAGAAACAGTACCTAGGATAAGTAATTTTAAACATTTCTTTTTCTTTTTTGAACTGAAAACCACAAGTCCTCGACTTATATACCAATATTTCCGACATAGCTATTGCCCGCGATACTGACATTACAAACAATAATACTTATTAAAGATTCACTGCTTTCAACACTAACAGAACCTTCAATGGTCAGTGACATATTTTCGATATTTAAAAATTCCTATTTTACAAAAACTGCGTAAAAAACCAACATGATTTGTACAATTCACTTGTTTATTAGAGACCTGTTACATTATTGTAGATAGAGGAGGGAGGATGAGAATGTACCACTTTGCAGGTGTACATATGTTTCTGTATATCATTGATATCGATGTATCGGTCATAGAAACTAACGGGGGGCATTTTGACAGAACAAATTTCGTAAGTTTGGATAAGACGCAATACTTCCGACCTCATCAGATATGAAATCAAATAGGAATAATCTTCGAGGATTCTACTACCCTTTCCAAACCAAGAATGCAAGGAATTGTACAGGTTAACAGTACCAAGCATGGTCTTAAGTCATTTCGTTATTTTGCTGCTAAGACTTGGAACGCGCTACCAGATGCTATACGCGCAAAGGCTGGCACAAGAACGTTTCTTCACGATATCTGTCGACTAAAATTCTAAGTTTTTAGTTTTTTTTATCTCTTTTTACTACACATGTATACAAATATATATTTCAGTTTGCGATATCCTTTTAGTAATAATATTTTACTTAATGTACATAATTCTTAGTGTAGGTTGTAATTTTTTATTGAATATTTTGTTGTGGGTTTCCTGGAAAGTAGCTTGTAGCTAAGTGTGGTGCTACATTAAATAAAGAAGAACTACTACTACTACTAACTACTAAAACCCAAGTCAGGGAGAAAGTGCAGTAGTGAAAAGTTGTTCATATCCGCCACGCAAATAATCCAACGCCGCTCCATCCCCACCCCCCTAGCCCCACCCTCTTTAAAAGTAACACCAGTGCTTTGAAATAGCAATTCTTGCCCATAGAATTTTACCCGATTGGCTACTTTTGTAATAATTACCTTTTCCGCTTCTATGTAAAGTGGTAGTCACAGAAAGAATAACACTAGTTAACACAAGTACGTCAAACGGTTACGCTCTAAACTGGTTGGATTAGGCTATTATTGTGTGGAAACGTTGCCAATGTAAGATCAAAGAGAACAACATAATTTTTTATAATATAACAAAGGGTAGAATATAAAAATTGTCATTTTTTAGATTTTTATGACCGTGCCAGCGAAGTATGCTCAGTCATCCGCTGACTCCTTGACTCAATCAAGCTCAATGACCCAAGCACTCCCTCTTTCATTCACACTCACTCAGTTTTCAAACACTACCTCACTCATTGACTCGGTTATGACCCCATGACACTCACTCACTTACTTTCTCCCCTGCCTACTCACTCACTCACTCACTCACTCACTCACTCAGTCATTCTCTCACTCACTTTCTTACCCACCAAATCAATCAATGACCCAATCACACTCTGACTCTACTCACTCTCTCTCTCTCTCTCTCTCTCTCTCTCTCTCTCTCTCTCTCTCTCTCACACACTTCCTCGCTTGCTCTCTCAGTCTCTCTCTTACTTTCTAAGTCACTCAGTCATTTTCTGACTCTCTTACTCAATCACTTCCTCTCTCTCTCTTTCTCTCTTCCTCACTCCCTTCCTCTTTCACTTTCTCAGTTACTCACTCAGTCAGCTTCCTATCTCCTTTTCCCATTCTCTCACCTACTCACTCATTCACTTCCTCTTTCGTTTTCTCATTCAGTCACTCAGTCACTTCTTCTGTCACTCTCTCACTCACTCAGTCAATCACTCAGTCACTCGCCTAATCAATTTCTCACTTATTTACTCGATAACTCACTCATTCACTCTCTCTCTCTCACTCATTCATTTTCCTCAGACATGTCCTACAATGATAGGCAATTAATTCAACCATTTAACTCTTTAAGAGCTTTACCTCATTGCGTTACAAATTCTTTTATGACTTAGAAAAGTCATCTCTGCAGGTTGTGTTATGAAGGCTGAACCGGTGGCATCCAGTTCGATATGAGACGAGTTTGGTCCTTTGTTTTGTCCGTGAAAGGTGTTTTGAAGGCGCATTCATCTTGTGAATAAGTCTAGCAAGAGCTAGCATGGTTCTGCATTCGTTGTCACGGATGTTAGGATGAATTTGAGACGCTTTAATGGCGAGCTGACTTGGCTGTAAAAAGGTTGACAGTTTGAGAGGTTTTTAGGAATTTCTTGTTTGTCTCCCTTTCTTTCCCTTAACTTTTGGAGAGCTCTACCTCTCCTAGGTCGTTTCTCAGTTCAGTCGGCCACCTCCGGGTCCTCGCTATCAGCTGACCGCACTGGTCGCTTTTTATTTAAGAAGAACCAGTTTCTGGTAGGGCCTGAATCGTCAGTCCAGCACCGAGACCAGCAACTCTTTTAAGACCCACTTAACTTCCTCCATGTAGCTTTTCTCAAAACAATCGGGTAAGAAATGACTGCTACAAAAAACAGAATTTTTAGACGGCTCGACGAAACTGGCCCTTTTCACTTGAACAAATTTAGCCCTTTGTCGCTTCAAATATG